AAATCATTTAATGATAACATTAAAAATAGAAAACTCTTCTATTTTCATAACCTATGAGACTTAATGACACTTTAAAAAGAAAAACTCTTCACTTTCCATAACTTGAGGACAAGTTATGGAGTTCATAAAAACCATTAAGATCAAATATTCCAATTAACACAATAATCAAATAATTTTTCTATGATCTAGATTAAACTCATAAGTAAAGATAATTCACATCAACAATTTTCAAGAAATTAGATAATCATATAAACTAATACAAATCTTGAAACTTTGACAATTATCCTTTGAAGACTCTTGGACTTCATAACCTAAAGAGTTAATAAATGAGACATTTCACATCCATAACTTATGGAAGTTTCAAAACTCTTAAGATCATAACTTTAAAAAAAAAACTTTTGAGTTCCAAAACTTTATGACAAAATTTGTAACGCCTTAATACCAATTAGATCAAACTTTTAAAACAAATAAAATAATCATATCATTCTATCTTTTAATAAATTGATCTAATTCAACTCTTGTAGTAAAGTGACTCAAATTTTACAAATAATTAGTTTTTCATAAAATCAAGTAATGATCATGAAATTTGACAAACTTCATGTTTTTTTCCATCAACTTGAAAAAAAAAATACATTGAAGTACAGATAAGGTATCAAAATTATTAAGATGACCTTAAAACATGATACTGAAGTACTCTCCAATCTTTTCATATTTGAGAAACTTGTATCCTTCTGCCTAATTTGATAGTAGCATCCAGAGTTGTTTGCCGAGCAGGACTTCAAGGACGAAGTCTGATTCTAGTGGGGGAGAATTTTAACATCCAGATTCCTAGGTATCTTATTTTAAGTATTTATGTTGAATTTTAAAGAGGAACTCGGTGAGTAGGCGCTTAGACTCACCGAGTGGGATCGCGCATTTTTGGTCTGATTTAATAAAGGACTCGGCGAGTCGATGCGTGGAATCGGCGAGTCTGCACTGTTAAGTGAAACCCTAATGCTCGGGGCCTGTGCCCTATTTAAAGGCCTTTATAGCCTCCATTGCGGCCACTTCACCCCCGAGAAACCCTAGAGAGAGAGAGAGAGAGAAAGAGAGAGAGAGTGGGAGGGAGATATATATATATATATATATATATATATATATATAGAGAGAGAGAGAGAGAGGGAGAGAGAGAGAGAGAGAGAGAGCATTGTGGTGCTTGAGGAAGGCTAACTCACCATTTCTTGAGTGTTTTAGCAAAAGAAAAGTGGTTTTCAACAAGAGAAGGTCAAGGGAGCTATGGATCCAAGATTTTCAAGTTCAGATCTACACTATTGAGGTATTAAATCGAACTTCCCTTCTATTTTGGGTTAAAATCTATGATTTAGGGTTTTCTATAAATCGTTTAAGGCTTGAAAGGTTGAGTATTTGGTCCCTTGCTGGGTTATACCTTAGATTTGGACCCATAGAGGTCCAGAGAACCTTTTCCATTCTGCTTTATGCTTGTTCATGGAGGATTGGAGACTAGGTTGCCATTTTTAGAGTTATTTCTCCATTTGTGGCTTGATGTGGGTTGCATGCACGTAAAGGTTGCACCTTTACGTGACCTTTGAGCACTGGAAGGCCAGATCTATAGTTTAGTAAAGTAGATCTAACCTTATAAGATCATTTTAGAGTTTTTATGGGAGCAACTCGCCAAGTCCATAAGTGGACTCGACGAGTCTAGTCGAGGTTGCCCCGCAATTCGTGTCAGGTGTAACTCGGCGAGTGGAAGGATAACTCAACAAGCCATGAGAGGCTGAAAGGATTCAGAGGACCATCATGGACTCGCCGAGTCGCCCATGTGCACTCGAAGAGTCGGGTCAGAGTTTGACCGTTGACGTTTGTCAACTTTAGGGTTCTTGTCAAGACTGATTCAGGAGAGTTCAGGAAAGGGTAGAATGACCTTCTACCCAATCTGTAGAGATAATATCATGAGAGAATATTGATCGGGGATGTTATTTGAATAATAGGAGGAGGCTAAGTCGGGACGTTGAGTACGAGAGTCTATCCGACTTCATTGAGGTGAGTTACTGTACCTGGAAGGGTACCTATGTGTGACCGAAAGGTCTTGTATGCTATGATGTATGTGCTATATGCAGTTATGTGATATGTATATGTTATGTATGTTATATGTGATAAGGACCGAAAGGTCAAGATGATATATATATATATATATATATATATATATATATATATATATGTGTGTGTGTGTGTGTGTGTGTTATGTGTGTTATGTATGGTAAGGACCGAAAGGTCAAAATGATGTGGACTAGAAGGTCGATACGGGTAGGACCGGAAGGTCCACCGGGATTTGGGACAGAAGTCCCCTGAGACACATGGATCGGAAGATCCTATAGGGTTATGCCCTGGAATGGTGTATGTGTGGTATGGGGTATTTTGGGGGACTCACTAAGCATTTATGCTTACAGTTGTTAAGATATGTGTTTCAGGTACTAGCGAGGATCGTGGGAAGACGCCGGCATAATCCGTACACACTTATGGAGTTTATGTTGTTGAGATTTTGGGACATGTTTTGTTATGACACAGTGAATACATTATGTTTTGTAATTATGATGTGATTGAAATTATGTTTTAAAAATGAAAATTTGTTTGAAAATTTACGTCATTACATTTATAGACCGTTTTATATTGTGTAAATTATATATCAAACATATATTGATTTCTATGTATAAAAAAAACAAAGTAGTATGAAGAAAATAATTACTACAACTTTGATAATTTTATAGAACGTTTTATGTTGTGGAAGTTTAATATAAAATGTATGTTGATTTGTATATAAAACAAATAACAAATAGTTTGAAAAACACTATAGCTTTTAATAAAATAAAAACACTGCAACATTATAACATTTACATCAAACAAAATTTACTAAACACTTCTAAATCAATCAAAATGAATATTTATAAATCAATATACATTTGATTTATAAAAAATTTGTGTTAAAATAACCATTGATGCGACAAAACTTTTTTTTTTCAACTATTTCATTTTGAATCACAAATCTTTTCTAACATATGGTTTTTTAAACAAAACTAAATTATATACTACTAATACAGCTACAATGTGTATAATAAATAAATGGAAAAAAAAAATTACTGCACATTAATAACCATAAGTTCAACACTTTGAATGCTGTCGAAAATATAAAAGCAAATTATATTAAATTTGAAATGATAATTATATTTAAATAATAAAAAGAATTGAGTTGTAGTGCGAGTTTTAAACTCTAGATTTGTGCCAAATAATATAATATAAATATTAACAATTATATGCTATAAATATAATATTATAAGTATTTATCATTGAAATAATAATATTTATACTAAGTTGTGACTAATATCATAATAATTTGAAGTATGCGATAAGAAAGATATAAAAAATTGTGTTCGGACCAAATTAAATTAAGGTTTTTATTTAAAATTATTTGAAACTAACTAACTATATATATATATATATATATATATATATATATATATATATATATATATATATATATATATATATATATATATATACTTTATAAATAATTTATTTGAATATTTTTTATTTCCTACATTATTGTTATTATTATTATTATTTCAAATAAGACCAATTTTTTAATATAATATAATATATTCTTTAGTTTTACGGTATTTTAAACAATTATTAATTTTTACTAATTAAAAACTACGTATTTCAAAATTTTCATTATTATATTTAGAAAAAAGTATCATACTTTTTTTTATTGTACTTTCGTTCTCTTCCTTAAAGCTATGAAATATTGGAAGAGAATGAACGGTACAAACAAAATGATAATTTGAATTTCAAAACTATAGTAATTGTTACGTATTGCAACCAATCTTTATATATATATATATATATATATATATATATATATATATATATATATATATATATATATATATGAGTTAAGAGTGGGTTAGGGGAGAAAGCGTGCTACACTTGAGGTATATTTTTTTAAATTATATTTTCTTATGAAAATATTGATATTTTATTTATATTACTTTTCCTTTAAGATAAAACACAAATAGAGAAAATTTTAACAAATATAGTAAGATAATTTACTTTTATTACTATAAAACCATTAAAAATTGGATACATACATATAAGTTTTGGTAGAACATAAATAATTCACTACTAGAAAAACAGCCTTTTACGACGCTCATTGCGCGTCGTAAAAGGCTCAGACGACGCGCAAATGCGCGTCAAGGAAGTCCCTGTCATAAAGAGAGATGACGCGCTTTTGCGCGTCGTCTATAGACGACGCGCATTTACAACGCGCATTTACGACGCGCAATGCGTATCAAGGAAGACCCTGTCATAAAGGAAGACGACACGCATTCGCGTGTCATAACCTTACGACGCGTGTTAATGACACGCAATGCGTATCAAGAAAGCCCATGTCAAGAAAGGCCATGTCATAAATGAAGATGACACACATTTTTGCGTATCATAATCTTAAATGTTTAAAAAAAATATTATTTATAGATTTACTAATTTTCAAATTAAATAATACATTAAAAATCTCATAATACAAAATAAAATACCATAAATAACAAAGATAATTCATTTCACTAATATGTCAAATACAAATAATTATTCCAATAGTGAGTAAATGTTATAATAAAATGAACTCATTTATATACAATTGCATTATCTAGCTTACTATGTGCCAACAACTCTCTATGTGTTTACTTTTGCTTGAGTCTCGTTTCCTCCAAAGCTTCTAAATCACAAACCTTTTTAAACATACTAGAGACAGGATCCAATCCATGGGGTATTTTTGGAAAATAGTCTGAACATTCTTGACAAATCATCAACCTGCAAGTGAAGGGTAGAAAGGGAAGAAACAAATGTTCACAACCAGTAAGAAATCTAAACACTAGAAGTTTCATAGTGATTGTTGATTCCTATAAACTCAAATGTGAGATGAGAGGCTTGTTCACAACCAGTAAGAAATACTAAGTAGAAAGAAACAAATCAGCACCGTTTTCTGCTTCTGCTGCAAGCAGTAATATGGAGCGTGACCCACGACAGATGAGGCAGTCATCTCCTTGAAAGCTAAATACATATGTTCTCGCAAAACTAACATAAAAAAACAAACAATAATGAGAATAATTTGTGGCATTCATCACCTTTAGTATCCAGCCACAAATCAGGACCAATTCATCCATCAAACACACAATCAGCACTCAGCAAGCCCACTCCACTACCCTCTCCAACAGCAAGTCAAAGTAAGCATCATCCAAGTGTTAGTGCCAAAAAAATCAAAACATTCATTAATTTTAACGTGTTGGGAGGAGAGCAATTAGGTAAAAGGATTGAGAAATTCGTACCCATGCTTATCTTAGCAAACTTGGTTTGGAACACCTGCACAATAAAATATAAATTATCAAAAGACTAAATGACTATCTTACCCTTACATTGAAAAGTCAAAGTGCCAATTTAATATGAAACATGGGTATGATTGTATAAAAAACGGACCTTGAAGCCAGTGTCACCTAGATTGAAGTAGAATCTCTCCTGGTATCCTGAAAAAAAAAAACAAGGGACTATTTATTTTAATTAAACTTACATAAAATATAAGAGATTCTTTATGCTGATTATATGTGTAGATAATTAGAAACTTAACTGAAAGCATTTTAAGTCCGGGGAGGGATAATATTGGGTCCATATGTAGGAAAAGTATCTGAAGTACATCACCTGAAATCGATCGACAACCACAACTCGAGCCTGGTCGTGATTATAGCTCAACTGCCACCTTCACACTCCCGTCAGAAGTTTGTTAATCAAATATGATCACTCTTGGACACGGGCATTAAACTTAATAAAGAATAAAATTTTGCTTTCCATTTGCTTTTCTTATTACGACATTATAATTTAAAAATCTTCTACATATCCTTTCTATTTGGATAAAATATGTTATAAATGGTATATATTTTTCAAAGAAAGCACATTGCTATCTGTTGCATTCATTTTTTTATCTCAAGAAATGTCTAGATTTTCATTAATTGGTAAACAAATTTAAGTTTTGTTCAGTTTTTACCTGATTGTACTTGGCTAAGCGCTCTCCACGAGAAGGAGAGCCTGCTTTGATTTGACAAGAGGCAAGACCAACCACCAGGTCAGCAATGAAAGAATCATCTATATCCCCACTTCTCTATGATATCACCACCATAACTTGGAACCATCATAACCGGTCAGCAGATTCATACACATTTGAGAGGTTAAAACATCTTAGAAAACTTCCTCAGGGCATTATGGTCACATAAATGCTATACATCATCTTCCTCAGGCAGTTTCACTGCTGTGTAAATACCTGCACCAGCTAGTGCGCCAAGGATGGGAGCTGTAAGGTAGATCCATATGCCTTTGTAGTTATTTGCAGCTATTGCTGGTCCCAAGGTTCTTGCTGAGTTCATTGATGCTCCTGTCAGTGGCCTATATCATTTCAACAAAGGGAAAAATGTGAACAAAGAGGTTACCCCTTTTTTTTTTTAAAAAAAAAAAAAAAAAAAAAAAACTTCTATCAACATACCCAGTTATCAGAATATTAAGAAGGTTCAATTTATACGTACCCATCTATAAGAATATTAAGCATGACAGTTGCCCCCACAGCTATTCCCGCTAGCTCGCCAACCTGTGGTGAAATAAAAATCAGGTTACAGTTATTTGAATAATTGCAAAATTTGTCTATGTTCATGTATATGTAAAATTTCCATAGCCAATTTTATATTAATACTATAAAATAATAAATATAAATATATATATATATATATATATATATATATATATATATATATAAATATTACCCGTGAAGACCAGGGGTAGATGGGCGATATACACTTGTTAAGCCTAATTGTCTAGCAGCTGAAGCAGTGGTTTCGCTAATGCATGCAACAGAACCCTCCCATGTCTGTGGTTCAGGTAGAAAATCCACCGAAGCACTGTTGCATGATAAAGATTAACAGATTAGAGGTCATTTTTTGGATTTATTTTTCAGGTTTTATGTTTTTTTGGTTGCATAAAGCAATAAAAATAGCAATGAAAGAAATGGTGTCTTCTTGAAGTCAAAGTCCATGAAAGCATGAGGAAGATATTTGTTGAATTTCGCAATATATTATAACAAAAAAGTTCGAGAACTTTATATCTAAGAATACAAATTATTGGAGTGTAATGGAGACTGAGAAAACCTCTAAATAAATAATCAGATAAGCTTCGGTTCGGTTAAGCTTTTTAAATTAGGTCATAAAACAAAGCATTGAACTAACCCCAAAAAAAACATGTGAAACTCCTTCAAAATTTACAAACAAAAAAATATTTATATTTATATTTAAAAACATGTGAAACTCCAAAAAAAAAAAAAAACAGGTGGCATAATTAATAGAAAATGATCTTACTTTAATTGGATGCACGGCTATTGAAGACAAACTTCAAGAAGGGTAAGAAAGAAGCTGCAGCAACACCTCAACCCCTGCTGCAACAACATTTCCATTAACCCAAGGACAGAAGAAATTATGATGCTTAATTGGATCAAACTCCACTACTTCTTCAAAGTTGCTTTCCCCATTTGGAGGCCCTAAATACCAAAATATATAAATAAAATAAAAAAGATTAAATGTTCAATCATTTTTAATAGAAAAAAGGACTCTAACCTAGCCCATTTGCAGGAGGCTCACATGGTTATACATTCATGCTCTTTATGTTACATTTTCATAATCTCAGGTTCGTGAAATGGCAATGGTTTCTGCTGTTCAGGAAGCCCAGAAAGATAATCTCAGAAACTTTAGTGACTACATGATGACAGTGTTAGAGGTTAGTTTCTACACAAAGTCAAAGTTACACTTCAATTCTGTATTCTGATATCTACTAAATTACCCTTTTACCGCCTGTTTAATACTAAATTACCTATTTTTTTTCTATCTGTCAGGATGACTGGCAAAAGGAAAAAAGGGACTTTCTTCACAGCTTGAGCCGCATCTCCAGTTTAGCAAGGACCAATGTAACTGATTCAAGCATTGGGGCTAACCGATCAGGGCCAATATTATCTCTATTTTCTAGTCCTCACATTTCATCTGGTCCTTCTAACATGGAGCTTTTGGCAATAGTTGATAAAAAGGCTGCAACATATGTCCAGGTTGTGAGAAAACTCAATGATGCAAGAAAACGTAGTTTAGAATATAAAGTAAGTCCATCAACTTATCATACTTTTGTTACTCGATTTATTTATTAATGTGTATTTTGTTCCATTTTTCAGTCAGCTACTGCTTTTAAGAATGCATATGATCACAATCTTGGCCTGGATTCTTCTAGTGGTAACTCAGTTACCATGAACAAGATCTGGCATCTAATTCAGGTACACATTGTTTTCATATGTAGAAGATTGCTCTTTCAAGCATTTTATCGATCACTTGGAGTGCATATATGCCCTTTTTTTTCTGACCCATTTACTTTAATTGTACATTTATAACCATCGAAAACAAATGCCAAAATCACATACTTTAAGCATCGATTCATTGTAAAATATAAAATAAAACATCAAACTGAGGTTCAACAAAATAACATTAAGAGAGGGGTAGAGATTTTCGAGATGATCTACAGGGGATGAAGAAATAAAGTTCTTCTGTTCAAAAATAAAACCAAATAGATTCATCACTCTCAACATTTTAAAGACAAACATCAAGTAGTTAAACACAAATTTTAAACTGAAATTTAATCAATATAATGAAAAATCAGAAAAAACATACTCACAGTAGTAGTCGTGGCGGCCGTAGTTGTTGACTCCGCCATCATAAACTTTTTTGTTGAAGAAATAGGAGATGTAGAAGCGTCCTTTTCATAGCATAGTAACACCTCCCATTCCTGGGAGAAATAGGAGATCGTAGTTGTCGGCCGTAGTTAAACACAATTTTTGTTGAAGAAAGGAAACTTCAATTAAACGAACAACTTTACCATATTTGGGAGAAAAAATCGGGAATGGGTTACTATTAACGAACCTTAGAGAGTTTATCGCCACCAAGATGATGCAGATGCACGAAAAAAACCAGAATCCTTTTTTCTTGATTGAGAAGATGAAGTTGAGGGATGAATGAGAAGTCGTGTTCCCCTAATTTGCTGAATGGATGAAGAAATAGGACCAAGGCTAGAAGCGCAACTAGACTAGGGTTTGTAAACATGGGGAGTCATTGTAGATGGAGTAGGGTAGAGGTGAAGAGGAGTGAGCGGGGTACTTCAAAATTTTGGGATTTTCCATGTTTCTAGTGGTGGCGGCTGCTAGGTTTTACAGAGAGTAGCAGGGGAGAAAATGAAAGAAGATATTACTATTTCAAATGTGTTATGTTTGATTAGGGTTTGCACATAGAAGGAAGTGAAAGTCGATCGGAGAAGAAGGGGTTTGTAGAGAGAAAGAAGGGAGAGAATGAAGTCGATTTGGCGGGTGTAGAGAGTAGAGAGGAAGAGGAAGCGGGTGTTCAAAATTTTGGGGGATTTAGTTTCCCCCCTGAGTCCCAGAAACGCGCGTTTATTAAAATTATAAAGCGACATTTGTAGAGGACGCCCTTTTTATTATAGGTGCCCTCCGTGTTTTTAATATTTTTACATGAGACACTAATTTAAGGGCACTCAGTAATGCGCGACCTAAATCCTTAAAATTTTTGAAGAGATGACACTTTTTTAATGTCGCTCGCTAATGCGTAACATAAATCAAAGAGCGTCGTGTTTTGCGCGTCGTAAAAGGCCTTTTTTCTAGTAGTGATTCATTTTTATAAGACACATAATTATTGGTTTTCAACAATAAAGTCATATCGTATTAAAAATCATTGTTTCTAATTTGTCATTATCACCAACAATTTGGAATAATAATTGTAAAATCCTTTCATTGAAATCAATTATAAAAAAACTTCATCAATGTTATTTACATTAAAATAAACGATTGAAACTAACATAGTGTGTAAGTGTGTATGTGTGTGTGTGTATATATATATATATATATATCTATATATATACACACACACACACACATGTTGAATAATATTCTCTTGTACATAAAATATATTTCTTTAACATAAAAAAGGGATAAAGAGAATATAAAGATACATACATGTTAAAAAAGTTAATTGCTCTAACTGATAAATAGTTTGATGGTTGATTTACCAAAAGTTCATGAGAAGTAATTATCAATCTCACTTCATCATCCTGTGATTATAGAAATATGCATAAAACAAAAGCTTAAAAAATGATCTTAAGTATATCTTTACAAACATACCTAAATTTGAACATTGATTAATATCTAAAACTTTACATGTACTTAATTTGAGTTTACATGAATTTATATTTGGAAAAGTTACAATTGCTTTCTTGTATCCAATGTGTCACATAACTCTTCAAACCCTACAAATATAATCTATCATATTATGTTGACATACATGCAATATGTAATCTAAAAATTTCTTATATAGGCTAAATATTTAATTTAACTCATCAATTAAATAACATGATTTGAAGAGTTTAAGAGTTACAAATCATAATATTTCAATTAATCATAAATTAATTTATATAAGTTGAATAGTCTTGGGAGTTCAAATGCTTGAGTTTCAAGGGAAAATAGTCTTAGGAGTTTCAAATGCATGAGGTTCAAGAAAAAATGTTAGCATTATAATATATATATATATATATATATATATATATATATATATATATATATATATATATATATATCTACATTTTATATACATATATATATATATATATATATATATATATATATATATATATATATATAGATAGATATAGATATTGAAATTTAGTTTATTTATGATTACACTTTAGGTTTAATATTTATTTAACCTTATTAACCAGCTTATAATCATTATTAGAAATACTCTATAATTTATCACTTTTAACTTAATTATTCTTTATGTTGTTTAAATTGAACTAAAATTTATATTTAAGTTGACCATGTAATGTTATATTTAAATTAATAATTTAAGTATTTTGTACAAAGTGTTCAAAGTTGTAGCTTTAAAATGATAATGGATTACATCTAACAATATATTAAAACAAATAAATTAAGTATAATATGTTAAAAGTTAAAAAACATAACTGAATAACTAGAAGTAAAAATATTCTTTTAATATTGAAATTTAGTTTATGTATGATTACACTTTAGGTTTAATATTTATTTAACCTTACTAACCAACTTATGATCATTATTAAAAAGAAATTAAAGAGTTATGAGAGTTTTAAATGAATCTAGTAAAAGAAAAAATACATGAGATTTTCAAATGAATGTAGTGAAAGAAAAAATGATTCATTTATAAGTATACTAGACGTAACATTGCGCCTTGTGCAAGAATGCATTTAAGTGGTTAAAATAATTAAGGGAAAAAATAGAAATATGTTGAATTTACGTTTTTAGTAATGTTGTGGGCATTAACCGAATTATCAAATAACATAAATATCCATCAACTTATATTTTGATACTATTTAATATATTTCATAACTTATAAACTTTACTTTTACTTTTATAATATTCAATATATATTATAAGTTTTTGTATAACATTAATATAATATACTTTTCTTAGGTCCAATAATATTTTTTAGATAAAATAAGAAATAAGTTGTTTTGAATGAGTTATTAATAAACAATATTGAACTAATAAACTTTGTATTACACTTTATATTATACCAAAACATCCAAAGTTTTATATATGAACTTTCAAATATTAAACATTGAAATTAAGAATGAAGTCATACAATATATATCATTATACATAAATGTCATCAAAAGTTTTAAAATAAGTCGATTAGTAAATATGATACTTAATTTTAATTAAATATTTTGCAAGGCGTAAGTTTGACCTTATGTTGGTGCGCCGAGAATCGTCTTCCTTAATTTGTACCTAAAAAATTAAGGTGGATAATAATATAAAATAGATATTACTGAGCA